TAAGGGATAAAGATTGTACTTACACTTCCTCAAAGGAAATTACAAAGAGGTAGAATTTCACAAATTACAGTCTACGTATTTTAATCAGATATTAAGAAACACCAACACTACCAACTACCACAATCCACACGAATACAATGCGCATGAAATATGAAAATTTAACATTTTTGAATGACTAATCACCAAAGCTGCCAACTTGAATAGGCAATTCCCCCAGATTTGAATTAATCTAAAACGTAATGTATTGATTAATTTAGGTTTTGTGGATATTAATAATCTTTATTTGTGATTTTTAAAATACTCTATATATTCAAAACAAGGTATTCCAAAAACGGTACGTTTTATCGTTTACAGTGAGTAATTTAATTTGTGTATCATAGAACTAACATAGAAGAAGATCACTTTAAATAGCTTTGCAGAAAAAAGGAGAAAATAAAACAGTGGCGTCATTAAAATATTTTATAATTTGTTTCCCATTTGTGTCACAATTTAATCATAAAATTTAATCACCTATTTTTTCTTAATACATTATATGCTTACCAAGGGTTTAACAAATAAGTCGTGTAAAATATCTAAAAGATGATCTAAAAGAAAATTTTCATTAATAAAGGGGGAAAATATGCAACCAGTATTCAACTATAATAGGTAATATCGAATTTTAAAATTTGTATGTCAATAAAGATTACCAGTTTATTTACTTTATTATATCTCCTCTCAACAGTCAATATCGATTTCAAACAAATGTCGCATTTAGTTCAAAACATTTAAGATATCACTAAATTCAGGTATTTCGATCAAAGAACATTTCAAATGTATTGTCCAAAATCTTTTGTCCTGATACTGTACTAGGATCTATTTAAAAATTAGTTTTAAATACTTAATTGTGTTGCCTGTCGCATGTCGGTTTGATTTTGATTTGTCCTAACACGGCCAGATTTACACAAGAGAAATAGATTTAAATTCTAAATACATATATTGAGGTTTGTACAACCTATATGAGGTTGTACAAACACTTTTGTTCTATGTCTACGCGTTTGTTTATATCTATTTCAAGAAATATAAACATGTAAATTAGTGAATGATAACATAATGAAATCTTTAATTAATTTATGTAAATTTTTCTGACAGTGGTAGTAGTATAACCTTATCAGATGGTAAATAATGTTACGATAAATTCTGACTCAAAACCGTAAAAATATTTATTACTAATATTCTTATTCATTCAAGTATTTTTCTAGGTCATATACCACCGATTCGAACTCTCCAGAAGGGGATCGAATAAAAACAACAGCCAGCCTGACTGAGCTCCCCCTCATCGAGATCATTCGCCGCTCAGCTGTTCGAGACCGGTCTCGATTAGTCGAGAAGGTTGGCTTCCGGCTCTCTGGGTAACTGGATCACCCATTCTAACCTCAAAATAAACATGCAAAACTAATTTAAACATTGTGTTCCATCTCATTATAATTTACTTCATGTTGTTTGTCGATTTCACTTTATTATTGTAGATTCATATAGGTAATTCTTAAAGTCTGGGTAAATTAGCTTCCAGAAATCTACTAAAAGATTAAAATGTTTATCAGTTTTACATATTTCTGGGGAAAATTTGTAGATAATAATCCCTGTCTTTAGAAAGTAGGTAGTTTTTAACATTTACAGTTAGTCGAATCAAGCGGTTCACTATTATCGTATCCGCTCTGTATTTATGTATTTCTGAGAAGGACAATAGTAAACGACTTTGTGTCATTTACCTGTTTTTTTTTTTTAAATAATAGCCTTATTTTCAAAGTTCATTTATTCGAGCATTCAACCTCATTTCATTTACTTGTTTGCCCAAGTTAAAATTTTATAGTTTTTAAGGCCGTATGACACTATGCATTTTCTTGTATCATTTCTTATATCGTTTCTGATATAACAAAAAAACGGATAGTGTCATACAGGCGTATAGTTTCTTATATCAGAAACGATACAAGAATTTGTGTCCGCTGCATTTTCTTGTACAAGAAATGCGCCAATTTGTGCACAAAGCCGCTAAAACGTAAAACTTCTGTCATGTCATATTTTCGGCTGGAGGCATAGAGAAATAAAAATAATTATTATTTTTATTTCTCTATGGCTGGAGGAGAACTTTGATATTTACCAGAGATATGTAAGTATCTCTGATGTATACATACAATTAGGCCAAGCAGACATCAGAGAAAAGTGCCCACCAACAATAACCAAGATTAGAACATCAGTAGGCATATTGAAAAATAATAAATCACAGTGATTGTATCAAATAGCATCGGAACTACTGAAAGTGGGAGATGTTTTACTAAAAACAATACATAACCGCTCTAAAAATTCGTGATGAGTTTAAAGAGTATTTGATATCTCCAATTAAGAGAGTAGAGTTTCAAGAGCATACTATTCAAACACATAATTAAAAAAAAAACAAATAAATTATTACAACCAAATTATTTATTATTTCTGTCTTCCATTACAACCTGTTGAATATCTTCAAAAATTGTGGTTTCCAATTTAGTTTTCATATTGGGACATTTTATTTCTTTCATTTTTGCATCACAGTATTTTTAAAAATAATCAGTAGCATATGTTCTCAGTCCCCAGTAGCTTGGGGTCCTCAGGCCCTTGTTCGGTGCCTCGGGTACTGCAGTTCTATTTTTATAGGTGTCAAAATTTCGACCAATCATGTGCCAAATCACATACAATTTCTGGTAAAAGAACTTGCATAGTGTCATACAGGGCAAAAATGTACGTACAAGAAACGATACAAGAAAACATAAATAACTTTCTATATCAGAAACGATATAAGAAATGATACAAGAAAATGCATAGTGTCATACGGCCTTTAGAAACAACCTCTCCTCCACTAGGGGCTTCTGTTAGACGTTTTGTAATGTATTTTTAGCAGTAGCATTCGAAACTCAGTTTTGAAAACATGTATAGTAAGCAATAAAAAGTTCTATCAAAATTGTCGTCGTATATTATTATAATCTAATAAAAGAATATTTTTTAACAAATATATCTCACGATAAACTAATCGTGGGTCATGACACACTGTTAATAGAATATTAATCAACATTTTACACTAAAATACACGGTAAACACTTACCTTGATAATCAAAACAATAATGTAAATCACAAGCACGCTACGTTGATTTCATAAAAAATAACTACGAATTTAAATTGGACTTCTCACAGCAACCAAAAGTACTATGAAGGTTAGAGTTAGAAATAATGTTTTGAATGGAAGGCACATTCTTGTAGTACAGCCTACAGCAAAAAACTTAAATACATTTACAGTTTAAGAATGAAAAAGGTATGGCCCAGACACACCTTGGGTCCAGCTGGGTCCTCACCCTAAATAATATTTTTAAAAATAAAAATTGTATTTATATAAAATGATTTTAAAACGAGACGTGTATTAAAAATTTAAACAAATGATTCAATATTGTTAATTAATCGAATGACTTTTATGACTTTTAAATTTTAACATTTGAAGGGTACAGGGGAAGAACGATCATAGTCACAAAAAATAAAAAAATCCAAAATCCATGCCGTTATGATGGCAGTATGAGAAAATATTAACCTCGTGCTGATATTACACGTGAAAATCAGACATAGTCAGCTGTAGAACCGAATACAAAAACGATATGCAGGGGAAGAATGATCATAGTCTACAGTTCGAACGTAAAATCGATCAGGTCCGAGTCCGAATAGGTCCCACCCAGTGCGCTTATTTAGTTGAGTCAGTACTCAGTAGTCAGTCAATTTGTTTGCGTTGTCGTTGTCTAGAATGCATCTCAAATTGTTTGTTCTAGTGTTTTGTTGATATAAACAAGTATTCTAAAGTGATACTGCGTGGTAGTTATAGTTACCTTAGTTCTACCTTATCTTACAATGAGTTCCAGTGAAGAAAGTGATTCAGGCTTGTTAAGCATACCCGACAGTTCTAAAAAGAGGAAAGTGATCGGTAGAGTTCGTGATGTCGATAAAATATTAAGAAATTGTACTAATGAGGTTAGGGTGATTGGCATTGCAAACGTCTGAAATGTTTTGAAAATGTTAACGATTCAGAGCGTTCTCGGTTGATCAAAACTTTTAATGGGTTGAAAGACAGAAATGAACAAAACTCATTTTTGGCAGGGCTAATTTCTGTGCATGGCATTGAACGAAGACGACCTGAAGAAGATGCTAATCTTCATGACTTTTCATATGAATATAAGGTAAGAGTGTTGCGTGAAGGCAAGCTACAAGAAATAAAAGTTTGCTTTAATGCTTTTATGTCGTTTTTTGTTGTCACTAGCCGACGCTTAATAACAGTTAAGAAAGCTCTTGTGCAGACAGGTAAAGCTCCTATTGATGGTAGAGGTATGCATAACAACCGTCCTCGTAAATTACCAGATGACACAAAAAAGCCTTGATAGATTTTTTTTCTTCTCTTAAGGGTAGAAAAGCGCACTATAGTCTTAAGGACTCAAAAAGAGTGTACCTACCTGAACATCTAAATATTAAAAAGCTGATGGTTTTATTCTTGAAAAAGTATAGCGATAAGCATTTTGAAATCTCTTACGAAGTATTCCGCAAAATGTTTGTTACAAAATTTAACATTGCCTTTGGCTACCCACGCACCGACACGTGTGCGTTATGTGATGTGACGGGAACGAGTAAAGGTAAAGTTAAAACATGGGCAACTTTCCCGTTCTCGTTACCGGGCGGCTTCTCGTTCTCGGTTATTGTGCATCTAAACATTGATTTACGTAGAGGTTAACTTTTTTCCCGTTCCCGTTCTCGTTCCCGTTCCCGGGCAATTGTGCAGCTGCCTTAAGTTTATCTTTGAAAGAAACAGTTTCAGCTACTTCATATACTGTATACAGACTGTATCCTTTTCTACTGCTGAATGTCTACGCTACTGATACACTTGTTTTAACTTGACACACTGACAAGAAGAGTCATAAGAGTGACAAGTGACAAGGGATTAATATGAAGTTGGCAGCAGTAAGGTCGTTTGTTTTCATCCCTTGATCTTTTCATTTTAATTACTGTTAAAGAAAATTTTGAACTAATACAAAAAGAACGTTTAACTGTTTGTTTTAAAATGGGCGAAGAAAATGAAGAGAAGGAAGAACCAAAGCCAATTATTATTAGAAATTCAACAGATCTTCAACGATTAAAATTGGAGAAATTAATGAAAAATCCTGTAAGCACAATATTCCAAATACTTCTAATGACTATAACTAAAACTATCGTATTGTATGTATGTTTATTAGTGTTATTAACACCACAATTTGACTGTCATTATGTATAAAATTTCAGTAAAAAATTTTAAATTAACTTTTTATTTTAGGAAAAACCTGTAATAATCCCTGAAAGACCCAAAGATAAAGGAGTTCCAAATGTGCCTGACTTTGTACGGAACGTTATGGGTTCCAGTGCAGGGGCCGGCTCTGGAGAATTTCATGTTTACAGACATCTTAGAAGAAAAGAATATGCTAGGCAGAAGTATATGCAAGAAAAAGCAGAAAAGGTAGCATACTGAAAATATTGTATATATTTTCTTGTTAATTTAATATAAATTTGCACACTTGGCCTATTTAGCTACCAATATATTTACATTTGTCCATTTATTTGCTGTAGGAACAATTAGATGATGAGTATCACCAAAAACTAGAAGAAAATAAGAAGCAGGCTGAAGAACGTACAGAGAAGAAGAGATTGAAAAGACTGAAGAAAAAGAATGCTAAGAAGAGAAAACCCAATAAAGTTCAGGCTAAAGAAGTCAAGGAATCTTCGTCTGAAGACAGTGGAAAGTCGGAAGATGAGGACAGTTCAGAGGAAGCTCCAGAGCCTAAAGAAATGAGTGTATAGTAGATCAAAGTGTAAAAACCAGACTATATGATAAATTTCTTGGAAAAGATTTCTTAAGAATTTGGAATTTCAGAAAATAAATCTTAGTTGAATTACCAAGTTTTGAAGACTGAATTTCTAAAGAATTTCCATAAGTATGCATTGTACATGTATATCTAAATATTTATATTTGTTTTGTTGATTAAAAATGTACTATATACTACATGTACAACAAAGAATATTGTTAAGAAAAGCCTTGTACATAAATATTTTATACTGATCTACTACGTCTATTATTTCATTATATATTCAATATTTTTATTACATATGACAATTATTTATTTAAATTTATATATAAGTATTCTAGTGTCTCCCATTGTCATATACAGTAGACTCACGATTATCTGAGGTAATTGGGACAGTGACTATGACAGACAGTGGGATCATTTTTGTTTTTGAGGCAGTGATGTTGCACCAACGTAGAAAGTCAAGGATGTCTACTGGTGTGGATTCCTCTTGCAGCTCAATGAATGCAAGAGCTGCTTCAAGGGGGCTTTTAACCCATTCGGAATCGGAAATCTTTTAAGTTATCTCATCTGTATCTTATTTTTGTTAATGAGTGATGTTTAGAACTAGATTGGCAATAGTGTCATTTCTTAGTTCCATTTCTTTGTCTCTATTTATCCATGGACACTATGTCGTCCCATGCCAAAGCAATCCAGTAGCAAACATCTCTAACTGTGATGCAGAATTGGTTTCCACAATGGAAACCAATGTACAAAAAAACGTAGAAATTAAAATAGCGAAGAAGACCCCGCCCACTCTGCGCACAGGACCAATCACAAGAAGCGCTTCAAGGTATTTAAACTTAGCGAGCAGCGACCGAGAAATCAGTTCTCCTGAAACATCAAGACGAAGTAGAACTAATCTGACTTGACAATGGCAAGTGTGACCTTGCCGAAACGTCGTCAAAACAATGGTTTTTCTAAAAACCAAAATTACTTAACGCAGAGTCAAACCCAGAAAACAACTGAAATCACATATAGCTCCCGCGGAAACTTCAAATCCAATATATATATATATATATATATATATATATATATATATATATATATATATATATATATATATATATATATATATATATATATATATATACGCTGAACTTTGCAGACGATCAAGTAATAATGGCTAAAGATTATGACGATTTAAACTATATGGCTCGAAAATTAATTGAAGAGTATGATATATGGGGTCTAGAAGTAAATAAAAGAAAACCAAATACCTGTGCACTGAAGCAGAACAAAAAGATCTCATATTAGATGATAACACTACAATAAAGCACTGCTGTGACCACAAATATATAGATATCACTATTTAACAAGATGGAACATTGGACAAAGCCATAAGGGAGAAAAGTCATCACAATGTTAAACAGCATTTTATGGGGCTAATCCATCAGCAAAGAAAATAAAAAGAGGACTATTGTAAAAAGTATCACTTTATATAGCTGTGAGGTATGGCCACTGAAAGAAAGAACACTAGTAACGCTGAAAGCGACGGAAATAGATTTTTGGAGAAGAGCCGCAGGAAGATCTAGAAGAGAAAGGATTACCAACGAACGCATTAGAGAAATAATGGGAATCAAACGAACAATCAAGAAGAATAGTGCACGCCAATAAGTGTTACTATGGCTTAAGAAGACAGATGGCCTCAAAAATGCCTAGAAAAATTAAACTGACTGTATACAAAACACTAATAAGACCAGTGCTAACATATGGTTCAGAAACTTGGACACTAACACAGAATGACCAAGAATTGCTCAAACGTTTTGAGCGAAAAATACTAAGACGAATGTATGGAGGCATAAAAGAACAAGGTTTGTGGCGCAGGTGTTACAATTTTGAGTTATATAGAAGTTTTGGAGGACGTGACGTTGTAAAATTCATTAAGGTAGCACGCCTTAGATGGATAGGTCATGTAATCAGACGAGAGGAAGATGACATAGTCAGAAAAGTTTTTGACCGAAGAGGGCCGATCGGACAACGAAGAAGAGGAAGACCGAGACTTAGGTACAAAGACAACCTAGAAAATGATTTGAAGTCTATTGGAATTAGAGCATGGAGAAGAGTGCCAAAGACAAGGGCGAATGGAGAATTGTTCTGAAGAATGCTTTGGCTCATAATGAGCTCTAACGCCACTGATGATGATCAAACGAACAATCGCAGATGGCCTAACAACAAAACAACTTATCTGGTTCGGACACATACAAAAATTGGATGAACAACGAATGCCAAAAGAAATATTAAAATGGCAACCATAAGGAAAGAGAAAACGAGGTAGACTGAGAAAACGTTGGAGCGAAGGAATAAATAAAGAACTGAGAGAGAGGGCCATAAAAGAAGACCTATGGAACAACCGGTCTAAGTGGCGATTGGAAGTCGGAAAACGTTATAAACCGACAAGTAGTACTCAGGATGTTTACAATTAAAAAAAAATGAGGTAGGTTTTGGAGGCAGTGATAATTTCGAATAATTACATTGCTTTGAGATTCCTAAAGATTATTTTAGAAGAGAGTTGGTTTTTTTTAAGTTTTAATTGGTCGATATAGGTGTAGAACTCATTAAAATTCCATTGTATAATAGACTTACGACATTTTTATAATTCTCCTTGCAATATCGATTCGTCGGTCTCTTCATTTGACAATGTTTAAATGGGTGTAAAGTTTTTTCTTTAAAGAATTTTGAGTTGTGAGAGTAGCGATAATTCGGAAAGTTCCTTTGAGTAGTCCTTTGAGATAATTTTGGGATGTGTAGCATGGCAATTGCATTAATGAGCCACACATTGAAAACCTTCCTTAAAATCATACATAACAGAATCCACATGAAATTAGAACAAGAAATAAGTGATTCACAGATGGGTTTTAGAAACTGTCTAGGAACTAGAGAAGCATTATTCAGAGTCAATGTTCTGACACAACGATGTCTGGATATGAATCAGGACATATATGCTTGCTTTGGCTCATGACGAGCTGTAATGCCATTGATGATGAATCATGTTGTCTGTTAAAGTCATTTTTATAATTTTGTTTCCGGAGTTGCCGCATTCCGATCTATTATAGGCTTCACATCTCCAGTTGGTGATTTTTAGGTCTGTTCTACCTGCTCCATATATTTAAGTTCGGGTCTTCTTCCCATTAATGCCTGCCTTATGGTTTTCTTGGTGACATAAATACAAAGACTTAAATGATACTGGGTTCCGGGGAAAGAAGATGTAATTTTTAATTATATACAATATAAAAGATCCTGATATCATATAATTCATCAAAATAGGACGGCTGCGTTAGATGAGACACGTTAAAAGTATGGAAGAATATGGTATACCGATCAAACTGAACAAAAAAATGACAGTAGGAAATAGAACAAGGGAAAGATAGAAGCTTAGGGAAGTATTCTCTGAGAAAAGTGGACAACTGTTGTGAGGGCCTAATTGAATCACCATAAAACTGTAGTTGTCGCCTTTACTAAAACAGGAGCACTACAAAAACTATTTCCATCAGAGCTCGGGGTAGTGAAAATGCTATTTGTAAGTCAGTCTGAATATTAGACCAGAACCTGAAGTAAAATCCACACATTTTTAACCAGGAGAGTTTTGGCTATACACAAGTATATTAAGATCCATGATGGTCCCCTGGCTTGGTTGAACAAAACACAGCAAGTTTAGGGCAGTTTGAATACTCTGAGGTATTCAAAGGCCTTCAAGCTTGAGTATCACATGAGCCCTGAGAACTGCTCCAACAGATGCGATGTAGATTTACCGAACTTATCACATTTTCACCTACGTGTGCAAGGAGAGACTAGGTTTACTGAGTTTCACACATATACATCATTATTTGAAGCAGAAGTTGTTGGTATGAATGTAATATAAAGGCAGGTATAGAATAAAATTGTGAACACTTTTAATAAACAGATCTAAAGGCATTGGAAGTAGCAAAGTTGATACTAGCCTGGGTACCAGGGCAAGGCTAACAAAGATGTCCGATCAACTAGCCTGAGAAGGTGCACATACTGCTGTGCTAGGATCTCTCTTGTGGAGTATTACGTATAATTAGTTGTTAAAGCTACAGTTACCAAGGGATACTATGCTCGGGGCATATCGTTGCAAAGCACCTTGAGGAAATGAGTCTCATGTTCGGCATCATCTTCGAAAAATCTGCCAGTGGATGAACAAAGTCAATTTAAAATTAGCGAAGCACAAAACTGGGACAGTGCTTATTTTTAGTCGAAAGCAGGTGGAAACCGTAACAATGAACATTAATAAAATCACATCATCACATAATGAATGCAGTAGTGCAGAACTTTTTAGAGCAGCAGTCAACAGAGTCCGCATAGCCATGATGATTTCCAACCTTCGATAGAAGATGGAATTTAAAGAAGAAAATCACATCACAACCATTTCTTTGAAACTTTTGAGTGCTGATTGATGCCAGACTCAGCTTGAAGCAGCAAATGGAGCACGTCAGTTCTCACGGCTAATGCCAAAATGTAGGTGGCCCAAAAAAAAGTAGCAGGGCGTTATTGTCGACAGTATTAACATACGGAATATAAATTCGTACTCGGAACCCAGGAGTCACGGAGTAAGGTCGCATTAGTATACCATCTGAGCGCTTTAAGAGTTGCCAGTGCATTCCGCACAGTATCTGAGGACGCAATACACGTCATAGCCGGGATGCTACTCATTGGAGGGCTAGCTGAAGAAAGGAAGACCCTTTACCGGCAAAGTGAGTCAACTTCAACTACATTGTTCCTTGATGAACTGAGAAGAGAACGGCAAAACAACATGCGATGATGGCAATTACAGTGTGATTCCGCAACGGGCAGGTGGACTCATTGTCTTATACCACAGGTGAATATTTGGCGAGGTCAACTACTATCTGACGCATATGCTCCCAGGAAATGGCTGCTTAAGCATGACGATTCTCTAGAATGCGCGGAGCACGTATTCTTATTCTTCGTGCGTTTTCGTTTTAACTTGCTACGCAACACACATACACACATATATATGAGTAATAAGGTTAAAAAAATAAATAAAAATAGTAAATTTCTCTCCAGTTTATTTATTTATTTCATTTGCCCAAATCATAAATTTAGGTATATACATAATGTACACATCTTTTTTGGAAACAGGGTAACTACCTATATAGATAACTTACAAGATAGGTATATAATTATTAAGAGTATTTCTTGTCCTGAAAATATGTTACAAAAAATAAGCGTAGT